TCTGTTGTTACTTACGTCAGTTGTTGTATTTATGTCTGTTTGCAGACTTTGCTTTTGTGTTTTTTTCGTTTTTTTCTCTCGGTGGTCGTTATGAACAAAAATATATCTTGAATAAATTAATAACCCTAAGCACTGTACCCATACAAAATGTTCCAGTTCTGTTGTTGTTTCCGGTATTTCATAGAAACCAGGCTTACCCCAGTATAGTGTGAAATTGTTTCAATGGTTTCGTTTAATTTTAGATAGATAAGTAGACTTTGGATAGTTCCATCCGAATTTTGATCGTTCCGTATAATCTCGGTCGGTGCTATAAGATCGTGGATAGGTCCGACAAATTTTGTACGATTCCCTTTATTTCTAGAAAGTTCGGTCTGACCGTGGATAACCCAGGTGTTAGGAGAGACCGCGTTGTGTATTATTTTAATGTTCAACTCTCATAGTGTATCGTAAACTGACTATTTGTACATTTAAAAAACAGATGACGAAAGCACAAGTTCCACTTGCGAAGCAGCGGAGCGAGAACTTCAACAGCTGGAGAGATTACTGTTGTCGCTTGAACCCTCCCTTTACCCTCAGACAGGTCAGTGTACTCCCCCTACCCGTGTCATGCGTGAGTTATGAGCATTGTACGGTGTTGTCGTTCCAAAGCATAAGTGAAGGTATGAAGGGGCAAGGGAAAATAAGGACAGTCAACTACAGTCCATAGTGAAAGTTGATATTCTGGTTCTCTCCAATTCCATTTTACTCATGGCGAAGCAGCACCATGTCATACACTGCGCCCAATTTTCAAACGTTAGTCTTATTTTCAGTATATTAGCTCGTTTAAACATACGCCATTACCAAAGGGTGTTGACTCTTGAGCCCTCACTTTACCCCCGGACAGGTAAGTATACTGACCCCACCCGTGCCATGCATGATTTTAAAGTATTGAACGGTATGGTGATTTCGTTGTTGTCTTGGCATAACGTAGGGAGAGGTAGGATGGGGTGAAGGGAAATAGGAACAGTCTCAACGATTATGATGACAATTAATGTCGTCGTTCTCTGTCGAAGCCCATATTATTTTGAGCAAGATACCTTATGCCGATTATTGTGCTCCAGTTTCAAAAGTTATTATTTTTTTTAACAGCGATTGCTCGGTGAAACGTCGTCCATCACCTGGAGGTGAAGGCGTTCCAGTCGAGCTGCATTTACTAAAAAAGATCGAGAGAGAAACAGATTTTATTTGCATGCTAAATATAATTTACAATGTGTGACCTTGCTAAGTGTAAAACACGGAATAGATATTACATGCAGTTATTACTACATGCAAAAAGTTATTACTACATACAAAAGTAGTTGAACAGAATTTGCCTCAGCTGTAAAATTTCGAGAAAGTGATGTTTGTAAGATTAAACTTATGTACCTTTTTGTTTCTCTTCAAGAAGGCGATGCACTCTCTAAGAGCAGGTTAGAAGTATTTTTATTATACTAAAGAATCTCATTCTATCACCTCGCGCTCTCCGAAACTACTGTAAATGTCCTACGTCTTCTTTTCGCACTATTTTTAACGCACCGTAAAGCAGACTACTTTTACAGCTTAAACGTAAATGGTATCAGATAAATGACAGTGACAGTGCTACCAGAGTTATGCAACAAAAAAATGAAGTCGCCAGAGTTCGGTGCTTATACAATAGTCGGCTCCCTCCAGTCCAAACTAGTTTATACGCTGTGTGACTAACGTTTCGAGTCGGTTCCATCTTATTTCTGACTTTTCAGTGAGATGGTTCCGTCTGATTCCGGACGAGATCCGTTTGATTTTGGACGGGATCCGATTACGTCGGATTTCGGACGGTTCCGTCCGATTTCGAAACGTTTACGTCAGATTTCGGATGGGTCTGTCCTTTCTGGCGTATTCACCCGATTCTGGACGGTTCACTGCTTGTCAGAAAAAGGGATTTCTTTCTTAGTTTATTCGCGTATTCAAGCTTATCGTTAATAGGTAAGTTTCCAGCCACATAAATTCTGTCTCTTTTTTTTTCAATAAAATAGAGAGCAGCCAGAGGTAAAACAGTTTCCTCACGCAGAGCCTGTAGGTGTAAACGGAACTGCCGAGGAAGTAGACCTTACAAAAACTTTAGATGAAATGGCCAGAATAGAAGGTAATGTTTAGCGGGGGCCATTTAATCTCTCGTTACATTGCTTGAACGAGGAACTGTGATTCTTTGTCAAACGCGTCGTGTTACCTGGCGTCTGCCCACTTAAACCAAAGCCTTTCGCATAAGAGAATTGTTGTCGTAATGCTCCCTTGTTCTGCAACGAAACAAACAAATATTAAGACGTACTAATCAGATTTTATTTTCAAGTTATTGCATGCTTCGCGAAAAATTGCTAGGTCCCTTAATGATTCGAAGATTTATTCAGTTGAAATTTTGTCCCCAAGCACGTTCCTTTTAATTATTATCTTTGATGTCTCCATTTTGAAAGTCATTTACCTTGGGTAGTCAAATTAAGCTTTAAGCGAGCTCGTCCCTGTTTTGTCGCACTTTGTAATAAAAATCTGTCGCACTTAATCGTCCCTGTGAAATCTAAATGGCAGATAAATAACATATATATTCATTCCGACTATTCCTTTCTTCATTCTCTAGGAGCGATAGCAGACTTGAATACATTGGTTGCATTAGATATGGAGCAGCTGTGATTTGTGATATGCATGTATCGGACTTATAACTTGTACTCCCTCAGTGAGTATTTTCGGAACGAACAGATCCCGGAAATATTTGTAGATAGCGGTTTAAAAGAAGTGTTCTCGTTATTTTCGACGATTTTGACGAGCTGCCATAGTTTGCAGCCATCTCCAAGACTGATTTGTTTTCCTTTGGTGTCTAAAGAAATCATGGTTTTTGTCAATGTTTTGAATAAATCATTTGTTGAAGAGGCATGTTGAAGTTTTATGACAAATTGATGCATATGTTGCCAAAGTTGTCGATTCACGCCTTCGAGTGACCACTTGTCATGTTATATCGACTCTTCGAAAACTGGAAATCCACCCGCCAATAGAAACCCTGAGGCGTTCCATGTAGTCTCAGTTGACTCTATTCCGACTTCAAGGTTTTTTAGCGGCGTAGGTTCACCTGAGGTTGTTGATCGAGTGCGAGCAGCGAATCAGTACTGCTTAAATCACAAGCCTTAATCTGTTTCCATGAGGGTTTTTTGGCTATTCTTCGTCGAGTTTCTTTTATTAGATGAATGACATAATTTTTTGGCTGAAAGAAAAATAAAAACACCTCTTGGTATCTCAAGTTGCGCTCTCAACGGATCGTCATATGATTTTATTGATGATTCTTCAAGAATAAATTAATGGTCGCAACAAATCATCAAATGATTCTAATGGCGATATTTATTGCTCACAATGAATCATCGAATGATGATAATGGTGACAGTCGCTTAAAATAAATCCTCAAATGATTTTTATGATGATATTAATTGCTCACAATAAATCATCAAATGATGATAATGGCGATATTAATTGCATAAAATAAATCCGCAAATGATTTAAATGATGATATTTATTGCTCGTAGTATATCATCAAATGATTGTAATGATAATGCTTTTAGAATTATGCAAATGACTTCGACTCGAGCGCAAACTGAGCATGCACAATCATTTACGTTGTATTCAAGATGTTGGTAGATGAAAGCTAGAGAGATACCCGCGGGTTTGAGACAATCAAGGGGCAATCGGTGACCTCTTTGGTGTAAAAAAAAATAATGCAATGATATCCTTTTTTAGCCCGATTTACGCCTGCATCTTGAAAATTCTTACTTACAAATTGGTGAATTTTTAATTTGCGAAATAAGGTCAAGGAGAAGAGTCTCCTGATCACGCTGATATGAATAAGATTTCCGGTGAAGTTTCCATATTTTGTCGGTGAACTGACTGAATACATCTTGTAACTTGTAGCAAGAGAGAACTGGCCGTGAGCTATATGATTGCGTTCGCAGCGCGCTTGATAAAATCTTTGAAATTTCCACTTTCGATCGCTCGATGGCGACGCAAAAGAGGAAGATTGAAGAACAGTCAAACTATTTATGAAACATGTGTCCTAAACCCTCTTTGTAAAATAAAAATGTAAAGCAAAACTTTTTTTTCGACAAGAGGCCAAGAGGACTGCTCTCAGCGAGAGCGGCACTTAATGTATCACATGCGCTATAGCTGTCGAGCTTTCTGAAGACACATACTTCGAAGCACGAAGAATCGAATACACAAGCAACAAAACAACGACGACGTTTTTGCGAACATAATTTAGAACACGTTAAACACTATTCGTAACATAAAAAACGCCAGAGTGAAGTTATTTAAAACCGCATTGGCAGACAGTATAACTGCATCTCCCGCTTTTCTCAACTGATCAAGCTGTGGATGAGCACGATCATTCAATTAAAATTTAATGCTCAGTATTTCAGGTTGTTACTTTTATATATATATTCAATCTAGGTTAAAATACTACACATCGTCTTGGCCATATTGATACTACTAATGACTTGCGGTAGAATTCATGAAAAGAATTGAAAGGATATTCATATATGTCACAATACAAAACTTTAATAGCCCCACCACAGTTTGGTAGTTTTAGATTTTGTAATAATTTCTCGAAAAGGGAACCTATACGGATTTGGTGGGAAGCCTGACCTTCTCATCCAATTCTTTGTCACAATAACATGAGTAATTTGTGTTACTGAGTCTTTTTTTTGAACAAAGGAAGGCGATCGACGGGTCGTTTCAGTTATTGAACGTTGATTCCAAAATACTAAAGAGGTCATTAAAAGTCTTACAAGGGCTGTTGAAAAAATCCTCTCTGATTAGCTGAAAGCTACTGACACAAATATTCCGCAGTGTAAAAATTAGTCAGCATATACTGAGCTCGGTGTGAATATATTTAAGTGGCAAACTGTTTTACATTCTGGGGAATATTTGTATTTCTGCGCGTACGTTTAAATCAAGAAAGTACTAATAATACAATGTTTATGCCAAAAGAAACATTGGATCAGGCGTGTGATGTTGTCTTGGTAGTCGAAGATGGAGAGCTTGAAGCTCATAAAGACATTCTTTCAAAAGCAAGTCCTTTCTTTGAAAAGCTGCTGAATAGCGACATGAAAGAGGCTAAAGAAGGAGTAGTTCGGTTGGAGATGTTCACCGAGTCTGTAATGAGAAACACACTAAAGTTTATTTACACCGGTGGGGTTCAGATTTTAAAGGAAGACGATGCCCGAAACCTGGTTGTGATTGCAGATTTTTTATTCCTTGAGAACCTGAAAACATTTGCTGCGCGGGCTCTACTAAAGAAAACGGAAATGAATATTTCGAATTGTATCTCAACTCTTCGGTTTGCTGAAGGATATCACTGCGGCGAACTTGTTTCCAAAACCAAGCATTTCATCCATAATAACTTTCCCGCCATCTACAATGCTAAACGTGAAGTTGTTTTGAGTATGGCTCACACAGAAATTGCAAATTTGCTTTCAAGTGACGAGCTTTGCGTTGGCGCCGAAGAAGATGTTTTTAACTTTGTTCTGACGTGGATCGAATTTGATAGAGGTAATCGAGAAAGATATTTCGCTGAGATATTTCGTCACGTTCGATTGGTTTACATATCACGTGACTTTCTATGCAATGATGTAGTGACACATGATTTGGTGAAAAGCAACAGAGACTGTTTAGAACTGGTTAATGAGGCTATCAATATGATTGACTGTAAAAAGTTTGAGAATCTCCCTTTCAAGCCCAGAAAGTCTCTTGAGACTTCTGCTATAGTGATAAGTGATAAGAACAAATTGATGTGTTATTTTCCTGTTGAGAATGACTGGGTTACGCTAGGCAAGATTCGTTGTGGAGAATTTGGCACTTTGCGTGATCTTTTTCCTTGCCATGGTAAATTGTACAGCACGAAAGTCAGACCGACTGCACAAGATTCCTGGGAACTAGTTACCGTCGGCTACAACCCATACTGTAACACTTGGACATCACCGGTATCGACCCACGAAAACAGATACGTCCGAGAAATATTTGTTGCGAATGGAGACGAAATACATGCTCTGCTTTCAGGGCCATGCTTTCTGTCCCACGAACCTCTTTGTTGTGGACGAGTAAGTGGAACACACTCTCTTTGTCCCAAGAACAAACATCTCTCCTACATTACCAAATACAAACCAGAATCAAACTCATGGCATGACATTGCGTCATTTGATTATCTGGATTTAAGACAAGGTTTTTGCCTTGTGGCTCAAGGAAACTTCATCTACTTCGTTAGTGGTTTTGTGTTGGATGGAGACCAGCGCACTTACCTTAATGAAGTTGACAGGTACGATTTTGACAAAAACCAGTGGAGGAAACTAGCAAATATTCAAGTAGCTAGGGAGTGGGCCTCGGGGGCTGCAACAAATGGAAAAATTGTTATTTTTGGAGGGAATATCAGCAAATATCATCAGGTGCCACAAAACTGCCAGTGTGAATTGTACGATGAAACAACAAATGAATGGCACTTCATCAAAACTTTGAAAATTAGACCTGGTTCTTTCACAAATCTCTTAATCATTGACGGGAAGATCCATGCTTTCTGTAAAGAAGAAAAGCGTCACAATGGAAGGAAGTTTGATCACAAACTGATTGAATTGTATGATTCTGACAACAATACTCAGAGTCTGATTACAAGGTCAATTTTATCTTCGAGATTTCGCTGTTATGCTCAGAGTCCTTCAGTGAAGGTGTTCAGAGGATTTTTTAACAACTGTAAGAAGGGAAACTTGAGTGATGATGAACTTGCTGGTGCGCCTTCTGCCCCTGCTGGGAACAAGAAAAAATGCTCAGTCTTGTAACTAATAAACTGATCATGGCTGTTCTCAATATTTCCGGCCCCTTTCTAATATGAACTTTCAAAATAATTTTTTTTCTTATCTAGACCAATGGATGTACTGCCGGGCAGTCCAACCTGCTTCGAACATCTGTGAAGGTTTCGTTGAAATAAGTGTGATGAAGTTGTACAATGTTTGTTGAATGGTAAACGCGACAGCACCGTGGACAAAACAGTAGCATAACACTAAGAAAACTGCATGCTTACAAGTCTTGCCCCAGAGACACATCTGCCTTGATACCGGTGTATGATACTTAGGGTCTTGTGTTTCGAACAGGAATAGGCGAGATATGTTATATAGGTTTGAACATAATTTGCATATACATGCAGCGTTAACACTTAAAGATAACTAAAGAGAGTGACAACGCAGAGGATATTCGTCTTGAATTTTCGAGTAAACCGAAAAGGAAACATAGACCATTAAAATAAACTGGACAGTAGCGAAACGCATTTTTCTATCTTGAGCCTTAGCGCCAACGCATTGGCGATTTTTATTCGGGGATTGTCGATTCTTTTATTTTCATTCATCAATAAAGTCGGCTTTTCTTGTCAGTAAAGAGCTATTGTGTCTATATGATAAACAGAATAATACATGGTTGCTTGTAGATATGGAAATATTCTTTTCGTGTTCAACTCGATAGCTCACGAGTGAGTGTAGCGAACGAGTGGAAGAGAAATCCCATATCTACGCGCGCCCATGTATTATTCTCTATGTAACGATGTGGCATGACCATCAGGGTGGAAAGACGAACAAGACAAAGGGCCTGGACGCCACTCGAGACAGGAACGCTTGATCTGGACTGCAGTGTTATAATTCCATGACAAACGCGTTTCTGCCAATTTTTTTTATTTCATTCAAAATTATATCCTCATTTGTGTGCAGGATTCCACTGCATTATATCCACCAGAAACCTGTTCAACGAGCATTGTGTTCAAACCAAACGGGAACATCCTTGAAGCGTCTTTCTGACATAATGTTCTGAATTAAATCTACCAGTGAATACACAAACTAAGACGCTTATTGAAATCGCACCTTGAATTTCCAAAGCTGGATGCATATGTTGCATGTAGCGTGAAAATCATCAGGCATAAAAAATTATTTCCGAAAATAGAAAAAGTATGTATGATCACCCAGCAAAGATAAAAAGGAAAGTTTCACTGTGTGGACTCTCTTTCGAGGAAAGTTAAATTCCAAAGTTTTCTTCTTTTTTTTCCTACTATATGATGTTTTTACAAACAGAAATTTGAGCTAAGACGCTCAGAAACCTGCAGAAAAACTAACTTGCAAATTCATAAGTTGCCTGAATGAATTAATGAAATCGTTCTTACTCGTTGGAACTTACCAGCTTCAAACATCTGTGAGGGATTCATATATGTATGCGTGAATGAAATATATTTTTTGTGTTGGTTGATGCAACTGTGGCATAACAAAATAGTGGAGGATAAAGTGAGATAATCGGCAGTCAGGTAAATTTAATCTTTTTGGTTTTTTTAGTTTTTATATTTAAACTGAAATAAGTGAAGTCATTTGATGTGAAAGTCATCAAAATATGAGTATGAGCAAGCTAAGTGACTGCTAAATTATTTGTGGTGATGATGAAATTAGAATTTCCGGTAGCAATTGTCTCTCAGCTGAACAGCAAGAAATTTCACCTCTACTCTACAATGACTGATATTACTAATGGAAAAACATTTTAAATGCTCTACTTTATCGATGTAAAAGCGATAATAAAATAGCAATGAGTGGATCAGGAAAAACATGTTACTGAAAATTATTGTAGCAGTGAAACATCTTAGAAACAAGTACTGAGGAGAGATATCTTCAGGCTGTTATCATGATCAACAAATGTGTTTTGATAAAGCCTAAGAAAGATCATTCAGGCACTTTTGGCCGCTTATCCGTATTCGTTGCTCTTCAAGAGCCAGTTATTGTCAAACAAGTCTGTAAAAAATGGCTTGCTTTGAACAAAGCTCTGATCGAAATATTGGTTCATTTATATGCACTGTAGCAGTGAAAGTTAAGGCTTTTTAGGTCACAGAAAAGGTGCAAACCAATCGAAATAAATTCTTCCTTTGGGATAATGCATAGTCGATTTATGAGGTGCATATGAAAAAAACTCCATCCCCATTTCGTACAATAACAAAGAAAGAGGCCATATGGTTTAAATTCTTCTTGAATTCGATACCGAATACATGACACAGTCAACTCTTTGAGTATTACGAGCATATTAAAAAGAAGAGTAGTACTTTAATGTGATATCTATTATTTTCGTCTGCTCCCATCTCGATTTGAGGTGTCCAGGAACTTGACACTTTTAAAAACTCTCAAATTTCCTATCTCCACCCCGAAGTAAAAACGAGTACCGCATAGCTTTCAGGGAATCTTTAAGAGAAGCTGGAAGGTAACTCTGCTATGCACTAGCTTTCCGTTCAGGGGGAAGTGGCAAACTCTACGTTACCTCATGCCGTTAAAACCGAGATAAGCTCCAAAATTATGAACTTTCTGGTTCGTAAGTTGACTTTACCTTTCTAGAGAACATTTCGACCACCGACATTACGGAGAAACTCGATACTCTGTAAAACACATGTACCAAGAGGCATAGATCAATGACTTCCCCTCGCACAAAAGTAAGGGTAAAGACTTCAGTCGCAACTTCTAGCAGATTAAGTTCTATACATACTTTACATAAATTGGTTATACACATAGAGAACACATATTTAGGGAGAAAAGTCTCGTGTCCTGTTTACTCATAGCCAGCTTCACTTCATAATTCTAATTCTTGTCTTCCCTTCAAAGTCAAACGGCTTGTCTTTGCTTCTACGTCATGAATACGCGCACCAACCCGCATTTAAAAATGTAGCTTGTTTTATCTCAAATATACTGATTGAATTAATCATGTTTGGACCTGTGGATGATACGACAAAAAAAACAGATACTTACAGGTAAACGGCAGTTGAAGGAATTGCAGAAAAACTGTGTTATTTTTAAAACATATTTGTTTATGCATATTATCGCTTTAAACGATTTTAATCAAGTTTTCCCAATGCATAGCAATGTAAGGTACACATTTTTATTCATCTCTTTGAGTTAACAAATTTCATTTCTGCTTCCCCTATGGTCAGGATCTGGGCATGGAAAATAATGTTACTGAGGAAGGTACGCAAAAGTTTCGCCATTATAAATTACATGAAAATTTGTAGAACTAGAGTAAGGCCGTTTGAGTCAGATTGCAGTAAGATCCAAACGTCGCACTGACTTGCATTAAGTTTTCTGTGAAAGTCGACGATGGAAATTGTTGCTCTCTCTTTCGGTCCCTTGTTACACAACAATAAACAAGTTCATCAAAACACTGTGATGAAATCCTCTGGACACAACTGATATCATGTGAATAACACCAAGGAAATTAGTTTATATCTGCTTGTCTTATGACACCATCCTAAGTTGTTTCGGCTTTTTTTCCACAGTCCGAAACCAGGAAGACGTGGAAAGCGGTTACAATGACGGAGAGTCGGAAAAAGAGCAGGGAGAGCCTCAGAAACACGCAGAACTAAGTGGTGAACACTCTGAACCCTCTGTACACAAGGGAGGTGAAACTGAAGGAAACGACGAACCAAAAGAAGATCACCAAGAGGCTAGAGAAAAGGAAGGTAAACCTGATCAAGAAGTACAAAAGTGAGATCATGAACAAAGTGATCAGTTTCACGTTGAGATTGATCAAAGAAAACCAAAGGTAGACCCTAACGAATGCAAACAGCAGAAAGTTGAACTTAAACAGAAAAGAAGACCCACAAGGGGATCTCGGGAAACTTGGAAAGCAGCAGGTTGAAGTTAAAGAAGAGAAAAAATCCGACGAATACACAGGGGAATCTAAACAGAAAACTGAAGAAGGCACGGTTGATAAACCAGAAGAACGCGAGAAGCTAATCATTGATAAAGATAAATTAGATCATTATCTGTCACCTCTGAAAAAGGAAACGTTAATCATTCTTTATTCATTTATTCCTAAAACAAAGCTTTAATTTGTTGAATCGCAGAAAGAGACCAACGTTTCCAATTTTTTCTTTTGTCCAATAGAAGACAAAAAGGACGACAACTTCCCAGAAGCCTCAGGGCGAGAATCTCCAAAGGCACCACTGGCCACATTTGATGATGACAGCGATCTTGACGAGTTCACAGACATACTGCAAGAAACAAATCTGTGAGAGGCAGCGCTGCTTTCTCTAGTTCTTCTCTATATAACTACCGCTAGGCTAGTATATCAGTATTAAAATAGTGTGACGTTTTCTCTGGTTATCTATTTTAAGGATTTGGTTTTAACTTAACCATCGTTAATTAGAGTTTTTGGTTTGTCTATAAATGCATGGAGTGATGATGAACTACGTTACTGCTGGCATCAAAAAAGTGCTTATTTCTCAGTACTTCACCTGAATATCCGAGCACGTTTCTTAAATTTTGGTACGAGTATAATTAATATAGAGCGAATGTTAGATGATAATGATGCCTCTGTATGGGATGTCATTCTAGGTGAGAAACAAGTATACGGAGTTGGCTTTTCTAAAATTAGTCATTTAAGAGATCATGCGCACAATTTATTTAACTTTATTTAATTTTCAGAAGCTAAGCTTTGTTTTGTTACCAGCCAACAACACTGCAACAACGAGAGATCTCTATACCTTTTAATGATCGTTAATTTTTATTTAAATGACTTTGAATGTATGAAAAACGTAAATGTGAGCTACGTAGTAACAAATGAATATGAGTTATCCTCACAGAAATGAACTCTGAACAATGTCAAAATAAAGCATATATATATATTAAGGCTTGAACGGGAGTTGAAGCCATGACCATCTTTGATACCGGCGCAGTGCTCTACCAACTGAGCAAACAGGCCAACTAAAAGCCGGTCATTTTTCTGGTTCGTAATAAACTCGTTAAGTCAAGAATAAGTGCCTGTGAATATGTGAAAATCATGAATGTGAACTGTGGATTGATAAATGAATATGAAAGTGATCTAACTCAGCAAATTATTTAAAAGCTGGCTTCGTTATATAACAGTGCTAAGTCATAAATCGTATTTAGCCCATCACACACATATACTATGTGCACAGGTCATGTATGTGCAAAGGTTACGAAATGTGTGTGTGGCTAATTTATTTACTCGAACTTGTTGTTATGATTTAAGACGAATGTAATTATTTTTGTAAAAGCTTGTGCAAACGCAAAGGAAGAAGGTATTAAAGTTGCAATTATAAAGTGCCGGAGCAGTAAGCCGTACTTGAAAATACACTTAATGGGAACTAACAGCAGTTTGAAGTTTAACATGGTTTCAAGTCAACAGAGTGGCTAGTAAAAATGGTGGTAATTAAATTTGCAGTTGTCATAGGATTTTATTCAAATTGAAAAAATCGATCGCTTTGACATTGTAGAGAACATCTACCAAAGTGGTAAGCAAAACGACTAAGTTTCCAAAACTTGCCGGTGCATCATTATTATTTATTTCCCAAAACTTTTCTTTCAAATAACCACCAGTATGAATTATGAAACATTGAAAGTTATCAGTAGCTATTTCCGCGCAAGTTATGAATTCTCCACGCGGAGGCTCACAACAGTTTCCTTTTGTTTTCCAGTTCATTACTCGATTTCGTTTTCTCCAATAATGATAGAAGAGAAACCATAATGGTTGGTCAATTCAAGGTGTTCTCCGAGACACAACCAATTTCTGTAGAAACAATAAATCCTCTGGAGATACCCCTCAGTTTTGGATTTATATGCCTCTTATTCAAACTTTTCAGATTTGCTTTTTCGGATTACAATCAAGCAGTGAAAGATTAATTTTTTTCAGCACATTTGAAAACAGTTTGTAGTTTGGACTCAAAGCCACCTAAATCTTTTGATAATTAAAGGTGTTGAAAGTTTCTCTCTATAAATCAAAGTGTTGTCTAAAGGATTCCATCTTTCAGATTAGTCGATGTTCTCTTCCCGTTGATTACAATGTATGCGCTTTGAATTCCCCAAGAAATAAAACACTCAGGCGGAAAAATCATCTTTGCTAGAAGTCTCAGCTGGATAGCATATGTTAATTTAAGGAAAAAGCTATGCCCATCTTCAGCATGGTATCAAGGGACAGGTCGGGGAGAGGAGGGGGATAAGACTTCAGAGAAGTTTGGCTGTGTCACAACAAAATATACCCAATTTTCTTCTTAGGCTCTCTACTACTCCTCCAACTCTGCCCCAGTTCCTCATCAAACAAGTTTTAAAGGGTCCAGGCCCCCAGTATCAAACCAGCCAGTCTGGTAGACCATGGCGCGAGAAAGGTATACAATATCCGGTTAATTTGCTCTATTGCAACGAATTCTGTCGAGATTTCCGATATTTCTTCTGCCTTTACGGTATAAATAACTGTTTTTGGGAAGTAATGATTTGAAATTGCGTGGAAATTGCTTATATCGATTGAACTGTCTCGCTTCACTGCAGCTTAGTCATGCATGTTGTGAACGAAATTAGTAGATTCCTGTTTGTGGCCAAGCTAACAAACATTCTCGCGGCACAGATTCCCAGTTTACCCTGATTATAGAAGTCGTAGGCTCTCATTGTGCTCGAAATAATTGCTTATATGATCGATGTTTCCTTTGTTATTGTGGTTAGAAAGAAGACTTGTCTCTCTTTTCCGAGTTTTGGTTCTCCTAGCAACGTTCGATGTGTCAATTCGCTCAAGATGTCAGCTTCAAGGTAAGTTTATTTCGTACTATTTTAGATTCAAAGGGTAACAATTGAAGACATGGGTACTTACACGTGGATGAAGGGCTGATATGTTACAGTTACTGTAGTGAGGCAAACATCGTGAAGGACTTATTTTAAGAAAAATTAAAGAGTTCCTTTTTAGTAAGTGATTTTTAGAATTTCGAAAAGTCAAATCACTTCAGAGTATACACTGCAGAACACTGTTTACACTTCAAATGACGCTGTCATAATCCAAAAATTTTAATCTTACTGATTTACCTTCCCTTTGTTGTTGGCTGAGCCCTGCAGCAGAATAGTTGACTAGAGTTAGATCCAACGGTAATCAAACAAAACTTTGGTAATGATATTTCAGTATTTGCATGAATTGAAATTCAAATTTGTGATGTACATGTACACCTGTAACTAAATTAAAGTTAATTTGTTTTTCCGTATCCTCTGCATCACAACTCCTTGCAGCCTCCATCACAAAATTTTATTAGGAGTACAATTGGAATACTTGAGTTAGAAATAAACATAGTAGAGACTATCAGTGGGTTTTCCTTTTATAGCAGGATTTCCAGTTGATAACAATCAAGAGGACAGTAGTTTGACTAGAAGTACTCTGCCCAGAAAAATAGAAGACTTCATCAAGACTCGTGAGAAACGAGAGATAAATGTAGTCTCAAACACAACAATACAGGTATGTGAAGTAATCTGCTCCTTTGTTAGAGGAGATCTTGGTAGAGTTTTGAACTAGAAAGATGTGGGATATCAAGTGAGGCATTCACTCATCATTGCCTATGTGGTTGTCTTCTCTTAGTTAACAACCAATTAAAGTGATATGTAAAAGCTTCCAAAGAAACCAGGGAAATCTCTTAGTTGCTGCCCAAGTAAAGTGTATGAGAAAAAAGGTTGTCATATTTCCAACTATTTTTGATCCCTCATTACAATTTCACAATGATTTAAGTGTGTCATTCAGAAATGGATGTTACCACAGGATTTTGTGCATAGAAGGCTTGATTTACTCCTTTGGGTATTCACTTTGGGGGCCATGTAGAACTTCCAAAAGTGTAATGCCTAAGTGTTGGAGGAAGACCTAAAGGAATGAAACAATAGTGCAATTAAGTGACCTTAAACAGAGAGTACTAGCATTACTCTACAGCTTAAATTCTTGACATTTAGTAACCACACTAATTAGCAAGTCTTGCAACTTGAGTGCTATTCTATTAAATGGAACTTTTATTATTCCAATGTACACCATACTTAGGACTATCACGCTTACTATGCTGTTGAGATCCTGCATGAGGGACGGCACTTGTGGTCTGATCTCAGTGAGAGGGCAGAAACTGTTCTGGATGAACATTTGTCAGGCAACGGACTGGCTGTCAAGAACATAGAACTCTCCTTTGAGTTTCCATACTATGGTCATATTGTGACAGATGTAATTTTAACCACAGGAGGTAGGTTGAAACCATTTGTTTCAAAAGTTTCATCCATTGTGCAGTCACTTGATTTTGACAAAAGCATGAAGTTTTATCCTTTCTCTAACTAGCAAATGTTAATGTAAGCTTTAAATTCAATGTGTTTTCATTTGTTCCAGGCTTTATTAATCTGGGTACATCAAACAGTCGTCAAATAGCCAACTTCCAATATGTTGCTCCACTCATGGCATTCTTTGATCCTTCCCTCAAAAACACAAGCCATGTTTATCATTTTGATAATGGTGAGTAGTCTTGTAAATACTTTTAGGCACTTAAAGTATTGCATTATGATTTTGTGCTCCTAAAGCTTTATTTTTTCTCTTTTAGATGATTGTTCCATTTTATGACCATTGCAAACAATGTCAAAATCATTAGAACAAATGTATTGTAGGATACAAATCATTTGATTCTATACAAGTCATGTTAAAAAAGAAATGGTGAGAAGTCTTTATTACAAGGCTATTGAGGGGACTAAATATGACTTTGCAATCAATGCCTGATCCTTGTTATTCTATGCCAAATCTGTAGATATTGTGGAATAACATCATTAAATTTGTGATGCAAATACATGTATTTTTGTAAATACATGTAATTTGAACATGTAGACTTGTGGGATAACATCATTAACTTTGTGATACAAATACGTGTAATTTGAACATGTAGAATGTACAGATGTATAGATGTTTGTTGTTGCCTTGTGTTGACTTTGCAGCAAGAAACAACCTTGTTGATTTTATTTGGAAACTGTCAAATGTGCATTTTATTTCAATCAACTTCTTGTGGGTCTTTCTTTCTGTATGTATAATTATAGATTGTATTTAAAAAAGCGTGAAAAAAAAAATGGTAACATATAATGTATCATGTACAGTATGTAGGGAAACATATTAAGGGGTTTCTTTGATACATACATCTTGTTTGAATATACTGCGATGGTGACCAGGTTGGCAAGTGAGTTCCCTCCTGGAATTTTGTTATCATTTGCACTGTTATTATTATTGTTATTATTGTCATCGTTACTTGTTTATTTACTGTTAACTTACAGTTATTACATGGAATAAGGCTGTGCACAGCCTGAAGTTCATTATCTGTGCTTCTTGGCCAGCAGAGTGCTAATTGTAGAATGGAATTTGTGACCCATTGTTTTTTTCTTTTATTTTCAAAACTCCAAATCAAGTTTGTTTTTTAGTTTATGTTTGCAACTTGTTTGCTTTTTAGGGTAATTTTAGTTGTATTGTTATGGGGTTACCTATCAGAGAGAGACTGCTTTCCTTTGAAATCTAACTACACATCTTTATTTTTTTGTCCCTCAGGAAATGAATTCATTGTACAATGGTCTAATGTATTCCTTCATGACAATCCTGAAGGTAATAATTGAATAAATTACAATCCTTTGACCAATTTCATCCCTGCTGTTTACAGCTGTATTTGCAACCAATTAAGGTGCATGGTGTTGAATAGTTCATTGGGCTCTGGATCAAAATGTCTAGATTTGGGCCCTTGGTAGGGTCATGCTTATATTTTATTCAGCAAACTCTCTCCTACATCATCATACATGTACCTCTCTCTGCCCAGGAGTACAAATGTGAAGTGAAGAAGCTTGAAGGGTAACTGGTGATGAGCTTATCTTCCCTCTTGAGCAGAATCAATTCTTTTAACTGCTCACTGAATGTTCAAGTGTCACTAAACAATAAATGAAACCTTTGAATGAAAAAAGATTAAAATCTCTCTATGTTGTTAACTTTTTTCTTTTTCTTTTTGTTATAGCTGGGGGCTTCACATTTCAGTGCATGCTTAATAGGACTGGTGAAATTGTTTTTTCCTATCACAAAGTAATGAGCTACATGTTTTAAAGTTAATCATGTATACTTTATTGCCAATTATAACAATCAATTTAGCGAGGGCAACAAGTGCCCTGATTTAAGATTCTTATTTTTGCATGTGGTGATAACATGTGTCATTTCTTTTCTTACCAAAAATTAATATTGAAATTTATTGTTTTTGTTTTGCTGGTAATGTGATATGAAGTTCCTGAGTCTCAAAATTTCAAGGTCTGGTCCCTTTTTCAAAACAGTTTTATATAATATTATATTCTTTGGCTGTAGAATAGAGGTTTGTAAATTCAAAGGTTATAAATTGTAGCCAATATATTCCACTCAAGGGTGCTTAATGTACCTTTGCTGTAATAGAACAGCAAGTCCACTTCACTTGCTCTTTCTATGTGAGACTATGTCATATGTATATGAACAATATCATATCTTTACAGATTGGTAAAGGATTTCACTCTGTTGTATGTTGTTGTTTTTTTTTTCCACCATTAGATTCCAATTCCAGTGGCCAATATTTCCAGTGTTGAGCACTCAGTCAATATTGGGATATCAGATGCTTATTATGTGGACAAACTGAGACACTACTATGGCATTTGTAAGTGCTGTATGATTATAATGCAGAGTGCCAATTGTAAGTTTCCTGGAGCATATTTTGTACCACAGTCAATTCATATCAAAGAATAAGGAAGATAAGGAGAAGGGGTGGGAGGAAGGAATCATGGGATAGGAGGAGGAAGAGGAGGTTGACAATAAGAAGAATGGAAACAGAATCTGAGTGAGAAGGAATGTAAGAGGGAGATCAGAAAGGCGCCATATGGCGACCTAACATCAAATTGAGTTTGTTAGACATAGGTGTTGTATATGTAGCTTGCTGCACAGTCACTGAACACAAGTTGCCAAATTGGTAATTTTTACTGCTAGTGAAGTCGCCAAACTTTTTTTGCCTCTTGCTATGTTGACCAAAATAGTCGCAGCTTAGACAATATAACAGTGTCGTCAAAATCGTTTCAGCAGTAAAATTGTGGAGCTTGAAACTTTAGTTCAAAAGGATGCATATCCTAAGTAATCATCCTTTACAATTGGACAATCGTCCAGTGAGCTTATTCAAAAGCAGACTTGTTACATTCATTATGAGGGTACCTTTTCTTTCTTTCTTTTCTTTTCTCAGGGCAAATATTTCGCACCTTTTACACGTACGATGCAGTGCACATCAACAAAAGTTTTGTTGCTAATAACACTGCCATTGTTCTTCGTCCCAAGAAAAGTGAGTGTAATGATAGATGTAAATTTTTTTCATTTGTAAGAACACTGGAAAAATAATCTCTGAATCCTTTTGTTTTGGTCTCCGGGTTTGAAGTCTAACGAGGAGCGTGATTATGATTGTCTTGGATGTTTTTTTTTTTTTTTTTTTTTACATCCACTTTCTGGATCATAAACACATTCTCTTTTGCCACAGATTGTGTTGGTGCCAAAACTTGTGCAGAATGCATGGAAGCAAGAAAAACCACCGAGTTCCATTGCACCTGGTGTAGCACCCTTAAACAGTTAGTACATTACCCTGTTTTTACTCCTGGGAGAAATACAATGAGAATATTTGAAGGCTTTGGTAAAGGTCAATTTAACTCATTACCGTGGATAGAGCCGTAAAAATCAGAACGATCTATAGATTCACTGTACATCACGCTCATCGTTCTAGTTCACCACGCTTCATTTTATATGAGACTCTTGTAACCTGTTAAGAAGCCTGTAACATTGAATCAAAGGTTTTCCTGTGCTCTTCTCGCATTTAACTGTATCTGTTTCTATTTTTTGCTTTTTTTATAGATGCTCCGATGGTTTTGATCGCTATCGCAGCGAGTGGCTAGGAGCGGACTGCAACAAATCAGACATTACTCGAGTAATAACAGCGTTGAGATCATTATTTTTTCTGAACTTCTCTGTTCTCCATTCGAGAGCTAAGATTTGATGGAGTTAGAAGCTTTGTGTTATGAGAATGCATTTGACTCAATCAATTTTACTTTCGCTTTCGTTTAAAAACCTGCCCACTTCACCCAGCTAGTCTATCCAGAGCTGATTTACACGGGTTGTGATTGTTCTCTAAAAGATGAATTTAAAAAGTGTATTGATAGGCTTTTATTGTTTTACATAGGCTGAAAATTGTGCCATTCAAAAGGAAAAGCAGGAGCAAGAGCGAGAGCAAGAGTCGACCTCAGGCCTCGCTCCTTGGCTTATAGCTGTCTTCTCTGCATGCGCAATAGCACTGGTTATTCTAGGGGCGTGGCTGGTTTATGCATTAACTCATCCCAACTCTAGATCAGGATTGTGTCTCATTCAGGTAAGAATATCGCTACTATTATGCACTGTTATAGATTTATTTAATCCTGAATCATGTGCAGACCACCTAGTGGTAACCTGTCCTAGATTTTTGGTCAGAGTTGACATGAGGCAAACGCCGTTCGTTCGTTCTGCTGCCCGTCTTTGTTGATCGAGACGGGTAAAGTCTAAGCGAGAAATGTTGTTTGTAGCCCTAAGAGGGTAGCAATAAAGAAATTGAAGAAACTCCCCTCACTGTATCACCACTGCAACAAAAATTTACCTCTTCAGAAGAAAGGAATTTAAAGCCATCTAAAGCTACAGCTGTATTGCTTGGCAAACATTAAGTGCTGTCACTTACTGTTTTTAAGAGCATGGGTTATGGTCAAACCAACCGCCAGGTAGCTCAGGTAACAGTGCGCCAGCCTGTCGTGCAGAAGGTCGAGAGTTCAAGCCCAAGATCGGACTGATACTCAGGGTTTTAAAAAAACTGAGGAGAATATGCTGCCTTTACTATGACATCCACAAGTGGATAGGGACGATGAACCATAGGCCCCGTCTTCTGCGTCCTTTTGGCAACGGTTAGTAGGGGATGTTTAAGAACCCACGCACTTCTTGCAAAGAGTAGGGAACGTAGCTTTTGGTGTTGTGGTGTGATCTTGGTCTCAAAATTAGGCGCATCTACCAATATTTCCTGCTCAACACAGTCGAAGGCAAAGTCCCCTGCAAATTGTTGTAAAGCGCCATGGGCTAATGGATATGGCGCTACGGAAATCCTTTATTAATATAATGTATATTACAATTCATTACTGTTTCTGAAAGAGGCTTTTCTCTCTTACAGTGCGGCCCTGGAAGGTGTTTCAAGAAAGCGCCGGATAGGAATGAAAACCATTCGCCAACGAATTCTTCTGTGTATAACAAGGTCGTCTTTTAATCCTTTCCAAGAAATTTTGGACTTTTACATTAGGAAAGTGTTTGAATGTCTTAACAAACCAGACGACACGTTTCTGGTCACTTTCGATGAAACGAAAAACGTTAAGTTTGATTTTCATAAATGCACCGAAAACAATTTACTTTTCGCTCTTTGAATCTTTAAGAGCGAATTGCATTTGGCTTTGACTGTTTTCAAATCTGGTTAAAGCTCTTCTACTCCGCTTTAGCTTTCCACTAGTCTTTGCGGTCGTATCAAAAATTGTCTATTGTTAACCTGTATTTTTTACCTATCATCCATTTGTTAAGAGTAATTTATAGATAATTTTATGCATCCAGGTTTATTACAGGCCAGTGAATTATAAGCTTGTGTGAAACATGTTGACTCTTTGACGAATTCCAGTTGCACCAATTTCGTTCATCACTTTTTGTTAATAGCAATATCCAAATTGTGTCAATATCTATTTAACCTCAAACGCGTCCCTCTGTTTCAGTCATCCATGAAACTTGACTTTTTGACTGAAACTTTACTAGTAATTTTGTGAATTTTCAAGGCATATATGCAACACGTTTGCACTAGTCACAAGAATATTATTCGCAATTCTACAACTTGCTGGTACCTTATACTCTAACAGGGCCAGGTGGTTGTAAAATAAGAACTGCTTTGAATTCCAGTGTCTCAGTAGTATTCAATCCTTTCTCAAACTCGAATCTCTGTAAGTTTGGACGAGTGCTAGCTTGATTTCCATCAATGCCAGATGCACGTTGTTTTATTGGTGCAACCCCAAACTGAAAGGCCCGGTCGCTTCTCGAAAAAATCCATTTTCAAAATGGAAGACTAGAAATCTTCGACCTTGGTTCTGCTTTTGTCCTCTCTGTTAAATACAACGTCCAATAAGTTTTCCATCTCGCCAAACTAATAGTTAAGTATAAATATACTTGAGTTCTATCACAATTGCTGCAATCTGATTGCCTTTCCTACTCGCCAACTATTCTGTGATAGAGAGCGAAGAGAGTAGAATTACTGCGTGTAGTTGTAAACAAAATTAGAATAAAATAAAAACATGAGCCTATCTAGTGAAAGTTACAAAGACTGGTTGGTTTGTGCTAAAAAGAGTACATTATCCGCTCTACCTCTAGGGCTCTACCCTCATTGATCATCACTCGATAGAAATCAAGAGTTCATAATCTTCGTCAAGTTCAAGGCAAGCTTTACACCACTGGCCCAGCAGCCTCAAATGCCCTTGTTATGAATTTTCATGCTGCTACATGTATACAACCTTTGACTGAGTCTTTTGTCGGCGGGCGAACCCTTAAGGACAATAAGGAATTTTGTCTCTGGCCAGAAAAGTTGTTATCACTGTGTGACAATGAAAATATAGCTTCGCTCGGCATTAGTCCTCTACAAGCTAAAGAGGTCTATTGCGCAGAAGCGGGTTAAACGATACGAGAGAATGTAAAGAGTTCCTCTTGTTGGTATTGAAAACTAATTTATTGATCGTAACAGCTACAGAAACGGCAATTTAGGCTGCTATCTCTGTTTTACTCTATACTTTTTTATTCGGCTTGATGCATCGTTTTGTCCTCCCCTAAAAGTGACTAGTATCTAATTTCTCCACTATAATAACCCTGAATCAGACATTGATGTCTCGAGAATAATGGCAATTAATGATCACCAACGAAAGAAGTTCTTGATGGTTGAACAGATTCTCCTTATCTTCACCTTAGGTGATGCATACGAACAGTATGGAGAATTTGCATTCTGAGGGGTTTAGGGTTCACGTAGTCTCCTCCAGAGCCGTCTCTTGATCTCGTCACGCGTTGCGTGACTGGCTGACTTACGATAATATTTGGTTTGTGTGAAGTTTTTTTTTGCGAGCATCGTTTACCATCAGTAATAAACGAATATTGTTTTCACAACAGTTCATTATTTTAACAGCATAATGAGAAGTGCTTCGTTTTCCCCAGGGGGGGTGAATTTCATTGTTAATTTGTCGGTTTTCCGGAAATAATAGTAAACAAAAGAGATGGGCGAATAACTTCCCCAAGAACTCCCCGGCTTGGAGGGGAGCCAATCACTGGGGAAGGTAAAAATAGCGAGATACTGCTCTTTTGTCGCGTGACACAAGGAGTGTAGGGCACTGTCGACTTCCGCTCTTTTTGGATGTGTTGTAACTGCCGTGAATCCAGACTGTGTTATCATCGAACTGGTTCACAAAGAGAGCAACTTGTTCAACGTTCAAAGTAAGTAAGGCTTGCTAGTGTTAGATTAGCGTTATCAGAGAGTTTTATGATACATAGTCAATATTCGTGCGTATAGCACCGTTGACCATGGCCTAGACTGGGAAATGGCTTCCTGTTTATGTTAGAGTCGATGGAGATTTTCACTTTGAACTATAATATTGATTTCTAAGAATAAATTGTTCGTTTCTTGATTTGGAATCGCTTGCAATGTTTAGCAGACGGATAAGGTCATTCGTTTTACTACAGTCTCGCCCGATCTAACCATTTCTTGAAGCCGCGTCCTAACGAATGCTAATTTGGTGTTTGTAGATGCATTTTCATGTGATTATTGTTTTAGTTTCGAAGGCTTCATTGCTTTCAACGCCTTCGGCCTTTTAGGTGTAGTTCTCTCCGCCATGGACTTATTTTGAGATACAAATGTACTCCAAAGGCATTTCATAACGCTCTTGAAAATAAACGTATTATTTGTGACATGTTATTCTAATTAATTCGTCTCCGTGCGTTGATATAGCAGCCATCATCTTCATTTATTCATCATTCATTTTTCCCGTAAATTGTTGAAAGATTAAATTTTAGTGAGCGAGATCAAACTATTTCGAGGGATTGAAAATTACTTCGTGAGTGTATTTCCCGTCCAGTACCAAATAAAATGACAAAGCTCTGAATTACGTGAAAATGTTTTGTTGCGGCTGGAAAATGGATGAAATGATAAGCGAAAATACCTACAAACAGTAAAAAAGGGGAGCGCTCGAATATAATTTTGTAAAGTGTAGGGTAAAGTGCGACTAAGAGTCATCGGACAAGGAAAGCATTATTCAAAATGCTGGCTAATGAACTGCACTTTTGAGCTCAGTATAACTTTCCTCTAGCTGTCACTCATAAATTCCACAGCGTCTGGCCCCGTCAGGGAAAGCAGATCTTATGTTTGTGCATATGAAACCAACTTGATCGCCTCCACGTCGTTCAAGATTATTTCCTTCGTCATCTGTAGGGACCATGGCTATTACCCGTTTTGTCCAACCTTCTCTCGGAAGATGGGTGTCTTCTCTTAAAGGCAGATTGTTTGCCATTCCACTCCTCCAATTTTGCAGATTATGAACTACTTGTGACGGATTCTGACTTCAGTTTGAAACTCCACCAGCATTCCAACCGTTATGTGGCGCTTTATGTCATCTTGGCACCCAATTACAGGTCATTATTTCTTTCAAGTGACATCAATTTGTTTTGAGGCTATAAAAACTAGGAATTCGAGATTATTTTCGTGTACACTTCCGCTTTTCTAAGAAACAGGAGAAATATAGAATAATAATTTAGAGTCAACCTTAAAATTTGCTCCCTTGTCATTCTCTGTCAAACGGAACTGATATGACACGATATCTTCCTAAGCATCCCCTTAAAACTTTAGATCGGACGGTATGTTTTCCAAATGATTTCGATGTCATCATGCGATTAATATATAGATTTAGCCAAGCCTAAAAGCGGAGCTCTTATTAGTTTATTTTCCAGCCCTACGTTACACTGAATAAAAACTGTAATAAAACTATCTACTGGTAAGTCTCTGAAATAAAACTATCTACTGGCAAGTCTTCGTATTATATTTCAACCCAACCATTTCCTCAACATATAAACACTATTACAAAGTAAATAGCAGGGAAATCGAAAACTTGTGGCATATCCATATCATAGGCCCTCTTGTCTGTATCAATAATTTGCTAATCACTCCTGTTGGCAATGTTTTGATGAGGTTGGGCTATCGAGGCAAAGGAACTGAGGATTTTAGTAGGCAGTGACTTTTTTTCAAATCTGGAAACTATCATCATGAAAGCCAAACTTGTTCCCAGTAACTCATTCTTATTCTGAAAAACTAGTTTTGAGAAGGATACAATATTTTATAACAAAAACTTAATGCATAGGTTGTGCAAAAAACCTTTAATTTGACTATACTTTTATAGCCAATACCAGTCCCTTCAAATGAAAAAATGTTAGGAGGTTCAGAGCAAAAATAATCTGCCATACATCTGCAAGATTTGATGTAATTATTTTAAATACAAGAATATTAACTGATACTAGGAGATCTAATAAAATTTTAAAAAATAATAAAATTTGGTCCAAAAATTAGAATTCAGCACAGACTGGATAAACAAGGTTCTTAGAAAAAGAAATGTGTACGAATGAAAAAGCTATGCAAACTTTTTTTACAACACCTGCCTGTACCTATATGGCATGTAGTAAAGTCTTTTGAAGTAGTCATAATCCCAGTTTCATATGCTGAAAACACATGCACATGCAGATTTCCTGTAAAGCTTTACATTCTTGCTTTGTGATTATGTGGATGCCAATTACTGGTAATTTTTATGCATTAAAATACGAAAAAATGTTCTCACCTGAATTCCATCTGGAATGAGAACTCTGCAAGACTTCTGTTTTATCTTGAATTCAAACATAAAATTCAATTATTTGCAGGTAGGTTAAGGAGGAAATTAGGAAGAGGGTGCGTCTTTTTTTATCGCAGCTATTAATGGAAGCATTCTAGTTAAAGTTGTTTTCAGCGATCCATTGGACGAGGTAACCATGACAGGTCAGCGATATAAATCAATTTATCAGAAATACAACTGTAGTCATTCAAGAACACAAGCTCGCAGTTAGAGGACATGGTTTCTCTCCAATACAGCGGAAAAATATCAAAAACTGAGAGCAAAAAGTGACATCTGAAAGTACTATGTGGCATTGAAGAGGCAAACGACACTTAAAACTTGACAAAAAATTTTTTTTCCACAAACAAACACGAGGTCTTCCTGGATTAAAAGATCAACTTTCTCGACTCACGGGAGCCTGGATGCAGGTTTACCCACCGGGGGCCTGGGTTAAGTAACAAGCTATAAAAGGTACCCGCACAACGTGACATAGAAAGAATTAAAATACGCCAAAGGCGTCTTTCGACTTTTGAATTTCGCTCTGACGAAGGGTTATGGCTCGAAACATCAGCTTTAGAAACTCTTTACGGTGGTCAAATTGCATCATCATTTCAATTGTTAAAACCGAATAGTCTTGTTACCACTCAAAGAAGTTACCCTCTTAATTCGTTTGACCTCTGCTAAGCTTGTAGCATAAACAGACGTTGCGTTAAGACGGCTTAAATTTACTAGTCTGAGGAAAATCATTTGTATTCTTGAAAATAAATGTATTATTTGTCACATATTATTCCGTGTGTCGATAGGGCAGCCATCATCTTCATTTACTGCATAAACCCAATAAATTGTTAAGAAATTACATTTTAATGGGCGAGATCAAACTATTTTGAGGGACTGAAAAGTACTTCGTGTTTGTGTTTCCTGGGACAGTTATTACAATTCACTTCGCACAGCCGTATTTTTTACGCTCTATTTAATGAACCGTATTATAGTGACAACTTTGATCAAGTTTTGTTGATCTGCAGACAGCAACATCAGCAACAACAGACTCTTACTATTTACCCCAAAACATATTATTACAACAATATATATAAATTTTGTTCTACACTAAATGTGTGAGGGGTACTGGCACCCAAAATAACCACTGCACGGGGTTGACGAAACTGAGTGCCAGTATACATTTAGGTTTATATAAACTATAGGGTCGGTATACTACACATACCACTGACATCACACAAATGTAGACACGACACATACATGTTACATCACACAAAAAAGACAGGATAATCATATCTCCATGTTGTTTCCTTAATAATTGTAAATGAAACTTTTTTTAGTTTCAATTTAAAGGTAATTTTTCAATAGCGTTATTGACCTTTACTTTTTCGTTTTCTTCAGTTACCTGGCACAACTAAACA